AGCGCCCCACACGGCGAGCTCCCCGCACGGCGAGGCAGGGGCCGGACGGGCTGGGGCTCCCGGGGTCGGCTGTGTCCGCGCCCGGAGCGGTGTCCTGGGTCCTTGGTGTCAAATTGGTAAAACTCACACAACCAAGGGCTTAAGATCACGCATTTCATCATACGTGAATTTTACCTCAATCCAAACAAACAGAAACCAAAACCGCACTGGAGGCAAAAACGCCCCACAGAGGCCGCGGGTTGCTGGGTGGCGGGAAGGCTGTTGCGTGTGTGGTTTTCCGACATTTTTCTTTCTTGAGTCTCAAAAGAACAGAACACCCAAAACAAGGCGGGGAGGCAGCTCCGTGCCGGCGCCACCCGGCCTCCGCCGACCCAGAACAGCGCGTCTGCGTGGCCCGCCCGCCGCTCCTGGCAGCTGCTGGGACATCTGGCGGCTTTCGTTACATAAGGGACTGAGGCGCTCACATCTGAATCTGCGTCCGGGCGCCCCCTGGGGCCCGGTGTCCCGACGTTAAGACGTTAAGACGTTAAGACGCCGGCTCGTCATTCCGGGGGACTCTCCCAGCACCCCCACGGCCCCCAGGGGCCGCTGCAGAGCCATCTGGGCAGATGGGGTCCTGACCGGCCTGGGGGCCCGGGAGGCGAGACCGCCCAGGGCGTCAACACCGGCCTCTCTGCACCCCACCCTCGGCCGAGTCAGGGGCCCGGCTCATGTGCCCGGGCGAGGGGTGCGGCCTCAGCCTCCTGCACGGGCGCCACTGACTGGCAGGGACCAGCCAACCCGAACTCTGCAGCAATGAGGCTCATCGGGTGCTTGGCTTGTGCTGGCTCAAACTTATCAATTATTCACTCAGTGCCCTGGGCACCTCGTGACAGGCCACCACCTGACAGGGGACGGGGGACGGCGTCCTGCCCTCAGCTCCACGGCCCCCAGGGGCATGGAGGGCGGGACTCTGAACGACTGACCCCTTCAGCCTCCTTCCTCCGCCCGCCGTCACCGGCCACTCCTGGGGGAGGGCCCACGCTGTCCTGCCCCCTCACTTGGAGCCTGAGGGAGGGCTAAGGGCAGCACCCACTCACCCACATGCTACCCCCAGGGCCAGTGTTTTCCATGGGTCACAGGGGACACTATTGGTGCCGCTGGCACTCTGCCCTGGGGGGATGACACCGGGCCCCCGGGACCGGTGTCCTCAGACTTCCTCCCAACCTCTGGGCAAGATGACCCCTGCATTTCTGTGGGACACAGGCTCCTCAGCTCTGCAGGCCCCGAGGACGAGTCCAGGGGCGGGAGGCCTGAAGGACAGGTCCCTCCCACCCCCGAGGGACCACACTCCAGAGGGTCCAAGTCGTCCCCGAGTGTGCTGTCCTCAGGGACCCCACCCTCCAGGGACCCAGAGGGAGGCGTGGATGGGGGTGTGGACGGGGAGCCCAGAGCCCGGGTCCCGTCGGTCTGACCGCCAGTGCCCATGGAGACCCGGGGGCCTGAACACGCTTCCCCAAGACTCCCAGGACTCCGTGAGCCCGAGGGTCGCCCCCCGGGGAGCCGCCCCCCAGGTCTCCTCCCAGCAGAACCACAGCCCACGGCAGCCCCACTCCCCAGGGCACAAATCCTGGGTGTTCACGAATTTACTGAAGCCAAACAAAATGTCTGCTTGGACCCAGCTGAGCAAATGAGATTCAGGTATTTGCTGACTCACCGAGGACCCAGGGGTGGGAGAGGCGGCTTGGGCCTCCGGGGTCCCACGGGGGAGGGGCGCCCGGGGCCTTGGCCAGAGCGCAGTCAGGCCGTCCTGGGCAGGAAGCCAGCGCGTGGTCATGCTCTGGATAAACTTTAATGAGACTTAGACAGTAACACCGCCCTGCAGACGCGAACGAGCATCCGGCAGCCCACCCCCCTCGCAGCCCGTGGGGGGCAGGCCCCAGCCGATGAGCAGCAGCCCCCCGGGAAGGTCCCACCAAGGCCATCTGTCAGTGGATGGAGGTGGGGGACAGTCTGGCAAATGAAGTGGCCCCGCGAGTGCCGGGCGGCCCGTGGACCCACGGCTGCGGCCGGCGTCCTAGATCATGCCGGCCAGCCAGGGCGGCAGGAAGAGGCCCACGGTCCCCAGCAGGCAGACGATGACGAACACCCAGAGGAAGATGCGGTCGACGACCATGGCCATGTACTTCCAGTCCTCCTTCACCTGCAACGGCAGACACGCGTCACCACAGCCCCGCCCGCGGCCTCGCGTGCCGCCAGAACCTTCTAGAACCTGGCGCTTTGCATGGCAAGTTCTCCGTTTGCTACCCTTGCCACCGAGGTCACCGAGGTTGCAGGCACACCGGGCTGAGGTGACAAGTGCGGAGAAGGGGCTCGTCCAGCTGAGGTCTGGGCTCAGAGACACTCGGGTCGGCGGGCTCCAAGGAGGCCAACGTCACAGCCGCCGTGGGGGCCGGGTTTGGCGCTGTGCCCCCCGCTTTGCGTGCCTGGTGGGGTGCCTGAGCTCCGGGGTGGGGGGCAGCAGCGGCAGGCCTTTGGAAGACCGCCAGGGTCCTGGCCACGTGGCGGTGAGATTGGCTCTCGGTTTGCGGAAGAGGGGAGGGTGCGGCAAGGCTGGAGGGGGGGTGTCCGCCGGCCCCGGCCGTGCAGGACGAGGACCAGGCGCGCCGGGGCGACGGCCTGACCTCCGACACGAGCCCCCCCAGGCCCGGGGCAGGGGCGGGGCTCCGCTCCCCACTTTGGGGGTGCCCGGGAGAGCGGTTTCCTCAGTGCCATGCCATTTTCTGCTCCGATTTCTTGAAGTAACAGAGGCGTCCTGAGGGTTTCAACCCAACCCAGACAGCGCTTGTTCACAGGGAGCCGGGAGCAGGCAGGGCCACTGTGCCCGCTGTGCCCTGCTTTCCACCGGCCCCGTGCGTCCCCAGCGAGCATGAAACGCCGCCGCAGACCAAAGCCGCCCCGTTGTCCCCGAGCCTCGGCGCGGAAATGAGAACCAGGTCGCCCACGCGGCCGGCACCGTGCCGGTGAGGGGCGCTGGGCGGCTGGAGCGGGCCCCACGCTGACCACCGGGCTGCTGGCCGCTGGGGTCCATCGGGTCGGTCACCCTCCTGACGGCATGAGTCACCCCTCGGCGCCCACTCAGACCCCCGCCACCGGCGGGGAGCAGCGTCCTGTGGCAAAACGCTGTCCCAGAGCCAACTGCCGCCATGTGGAACTTTCTGGAAAGCTCCAGAATGGCTCACGGCCTCCTGGGATTCACCAGGGTGACTGCGGGAGACCAGCTCACTCATTTCTCAGGGGGGCACTGTGTGGGCGATGGGGAACCCGGCTCCCTTTCCGGGGCTTGCGGACAGCCCCAGGAACCACACCGGCTCCCCGAGGCCACAGCCCCTTCCGAGCAGGCAGAGGGACAAGCTGGGCGGGTGACAGGCAGGGTCAGGGATTGTCCCCATCTCAATGCCTGACTCACAGCAAGCAGCAAATGGCTGACCAGGGCGGGCAACACCCTCCCCCTGCCCCCAAATACTGGCCCCGGCCCCTCCCTCTGCCCACGCCCTGAACTGGGGGTTCCACCATTAGCCTGGACCCACCCTGGCAGGCGCCCCGAGGCGTGGCCACAGAGCCTAGGCCTCGGGGAGCTGCCCCACAGTTCTCTGCACCCGCCTGACTCTGCTCCCCGCCGGCTGGGGCCCCGGCCGGAGGGCCAGGGCTGTGCCCCAGACCAGCCCTGCCCCCCACCAGGCCGCAGAGGCCGCCAACCCATCCTGCTCCCTTCAGCCCTCCAGTCCCCCCAGGTACCCTCGGGGAGGGGGGCGCTGCAGGTCACAGGTCAGAGGGAGGAGCTCACTGGGCACAGAGGGGCTCGCAGAACCCTCCCTGCTGTCCTGAACCCAAAATGGTATCCCCATGATCTGCTCCCGACAGCCCCTGGCCACCTGCCCCGGCCCCGCCCCGGGGGCCCCGCTGGTACTGGTGGCCGGGGGAGGTGGGGGGCAGAGTGGGCCTCAGGCTGCCACGTGGCCCAAAGCTGGCAGCCCGGGTCTTGGCCCCGGTTTCTGGAATTTTCTCCCTGGCCACGCCCTCCTGCAGCGTGGAGAGGAAGCGGAGAGTGTCTGCTCATCTGCTTGGGCCAGGGGCATGGCTGGACGCGGCCAGGGCAGGGACTTACCGAGAAGTCCGTGTCTTCTGCCTTCAGGTGGTCTGCGATGTACTGGACGCCCTCGACCGCCCGTGTCAAGGCCGGTGACAGGGGCAGGTGCCGGGGTGCAGCTTTGGTGCCGTGGGCTTTGAGCACAGTGTTTGGGGACCCCGTGGACGGCTCCTTCCTGCACGTGCATCTGCACGGGGAGGCCGGGTCTGGGGGCGGGAGCTCGGCTGGGGGGGCCTTCAGGGAAGCGGGGGAGCCGGCCGTCTGGCCATCGCCCTCGTCTCGAGGAACACAGTCCTGGATGCTCCGAGACCGGCAGCGGACGCCGCCTCCCCCGGCCCTAGCAGGGCTGGGCATGTGCTGGACGCTCAGGGACCGGGCTTTGGTGAGCCCCGGGGCCTGGGTGCCAGTGGGCG